CGACACGAGAGGCAGGGGGCTGCCGCGGGCCTCACATGGCAGGACCACCCGGGAGCCACGGACCACCATCACATCATTCTGGAACTCCACTGGCTCCAGGACAGGTGGCGCTGTGGAGGGCACAGAGAGGACAGGAGTCATTTTATTCCACCACAAGGCAGCCCTCACCCCTGGACCTTTGCACGGGCTGTTCCTATTGGCCAGAATGCCCTCCTCCTGGACAATTCCTTCTTTTCTCCAGAACTCAGCTCAGACCTCACCTCCTCCAGGAAGCCCTCCCTGAAGCCCCAAGGCCAGGTGAGGAGCCCTGCTGTGTGCTCCTATAGCGCCCTCGCCTTCCTCTGGTATCACTAGTTACCTGGAATTGTGACTGGCTCTTTACAGAGCTGATTCCTGCACTGACCTCCTGGTAGCAGGGGCCTCTGCTCACTGCCATATCCCTCTGCCAGGCAGGGCCCTGGCACACCACGTGCCCAATAACTGCTTGTGAGATGAACAATTGAGCAACCCAATGAATCTAAGACCGAGGTGTTGTGTCTACTCCACCTTGACACCCCCGGGGGCCAGCCCGTGGTTCCACCCAGATGCCAGGAGCCGTGATTCTCACCCACCAAAGGCAAAGGACCCGCTGACCCCATGCCCTGCTCCATACCGTGCACCTGCAAGGTGAAGTTCCTGTCGGCCACCCCAGCCGGGCTTGCAGCCACGCAGGTGAAGACGCCGGAATCTGCCAACTGCACCTGGGAAATCCTGAACCCCCCCGGGGGGGAGAGAGAGAGAGGTGGGGGGTGGAAAGCTCCCTCCTTTTTCTATCCTTGTCTCCCAGGCTTGCTGGCCAGGGGCTGACTCTGAAGTGCAAACCTGAGTCCAGCCTCTGCTTAAACCCCTTCCCTGGCTCCCCAGTGCGCCCTTCATGTCCCCCCCTGGGACCCCACCTCTGCTGCCTTCTCTGCCCACTGTCACCCTGCAGCCAGACTTCCCGCTTCCCAAATCCTGGAGGGACAGCTTGCCCGCCCTTCCTCTGTGCCCTCAGGCCTCACCAGAGTCCTCGCCACTTACCAGCTCCACCATCTGTCCTCTCACTTCCCACAAACCCCGCTTTTGCTCCGACCACTCCTCCTAAGCTGCTCTTGCCAAGGTCCCCAGTGGCGGCCGCAATGCCAAGGCCAACGGTCAATTCTCGGACCTCATCTCCTGTGGCCAGATTGGCCTCTCCATCCCTGCAACGTGTCTTCACACACAGCACGCTCTCCTAGATTTTATCTGACACCCTGGCTGCCCCCTTCTCTGGGCCCCTTAGACTCGTTCCCACACTAGCAGCTGGGGCACGGTCCACACCTGCTCTGTAGGGGGCTGTGGCCTGTCCTGGCTCCCCACACCACCCATTTGCAGACAATTCCCAGGTGTGTGTCTCCCTGAACTCCTGAGCAGAATAGCCAGTGCCTGCTTGCTGTCTTCCCCGACGTCTAAGAACCTCCCGACCCAATGCATTCAATCAGAACTCCAGGTCTGCCCTCCCTCCACTGCTCCTCCCATGGCGGTCCGAGCTGGGAAAACAGGAACCAGGTACCTGTCCAGGAACCCGAGATGAAAACCTCAGAGCCACGCTAGACGCCTTGCTTTCTCTCATCTCTTCACAAATACCCCCAGCTCTACCTTCGAGTGTATCTGGAGTGTGACCACCTCTCACCACCTCCACCGACATAGCCCTGATCCAGGCCACATTGTGTCTCACCTGGATTGTCACAACAGCCCCTAACTGCCCTCCCCCTCTGCCCTTAGGATTCTAAAATCCTAAGTCACAGCCAAAAAGAATTGAAAGTAGAGACTTGAACAGATAATATGCACCCCCGTGTCCACAGCAGCACTATTCGCAATAGTCAAGAGGTAGAAGCACCCCAAGTGTCCGTCAGCGGATGAATGGATCAACCAAATGTGACCTATCCATGTAGTGGAATATCATTCAGCCTTGAAAAGTAAGTCCTGACACACTACAACGTGGATGAACCGTGAGGACATGATGCTAATAAGCCAGACACAAAAGGACGAATACCACTTACAGGAGGGACCTAGACAGGCAAAATCGTGGCTGCCAGAGGCTGGGAGGAGGGAATGGGGAGTTAGTATTTCATGGGGACAGAGTTTCCTTAATGCCACTGAACTATACACTTAAAATGGTTAAGGTGGCCAGTTCTGTTGTGTCTATTTTGCCACAATAAAACACGTTAAGTCACATCATGACAATCCTATGCTGCAACCACCCTCCCCCACCCCACCCCAGCTTGCCATCTCTTAGGAAAACTCACATCTTTCCAAGGACTTGCAAGGTCCTGCCCTAATCACCTAACCACCCCCCGTCCCCCGCTGCTCCCCAAACACACAGACACTCCTGCCTCAGGGCCTTTGAACCTGTCATTCCCTCACCCCCTCACCTCCTTCCATCTGTGTTCAAATGTCACCTTATCTGAGCACCTGCCCCTGACTGTGTAATAAATAGCACCCTCCCGTCTACTCACCCTGCTTTATTCTCTAGAGCACAATCACTCAGGACATTTCATTGTTGTATTTGTTTATTCTCCACCCCTGTCCCCAGCCCCCGCAGCTGCAGGGGCAGGGACTTTATCTTGCTCACTGCTCTATCCCAGGGCTGGAACTGCACCGGGAATAGTAAACGCTCCATAGTGTTGGTGAGCGCATGAAGCCTTGGCTCAGGCACCTTCTTCCAGGAAGCCCTCCCTGATTTCCTCCACCCTGGGCCAGGCTGAGTCAGGTGCAATCAGGTGCCATCACCTGGTTCCGCGCCTCCCCCACTGGACTGTGAGAGTGCCTGAGGGCAGAGGCCCCTTTCATCTCTGCAGTTCCATTGGAGGGTGGAGTCCTCTCACTCTCCCCATTATAAACCTCTGTACGTTTATATTATTTGTTATTCTAAAACTCATTCAGAAGTATTTTCCTTTTCTTTTTTTTTTTTTTTTGGCTTTTTTTCGTGACCGGCAACGGGATCGCAACCCTCGGTGTTGCGCCTGCACCTCGCTCAGCCAGTGAGCGGCCGGCGTGTATGCAGGATCCGAACCCTCGGCGGGAGCGCCGCTGCACTCCCAAGCGGTGCACTGTAGCAGTGCGCCACCGGGCCGGCCCGTCATTCAGAAGTATTTTAAACCCAAGCTTCCTGAAGCCGGTTGGTGGGTGGGCCGAGGAGCCTCTCCCCTACCTGAGGGTGCGGCCAGAGCCATGGAGGTGTGTGCGCTGGGAGAGCGGAAGGGGTAGGCCATCCTTGAGCCAGCTCACGTGAATGGGCGGGGAGCCCCGGGTGGGACAGGCCATGCTCACCAGCTCCCCAGGCCTGCTCACCAGCGTCCCCGAGCTGTCTGCTGCCTGCTCGATGGTGGGAGGAACTGAGGGCGAGCAGGGAGAAAAAAGAGGCGCAGTAAGAGGATCTGGGGGAGGCAGGTGGGCTCCTCCCAGGAAAGTTCTGGGAGGCGGCACATGGACGTCTGCTGCCAGCAACCATCATGGTTGGGGCTCCTTAGAGCCTCGTCCACTCCACTCAAGGGATGAGGCCACTGTGTGGGGCACAGCCTCTCCCCCAGCTCTGTTTTTGTCTCCCTTTACCCCAACTCCCCACCACACCCCGGGCCGCAGCAGTCATGCCTCTAGTTTGAGGGTGAGGCACGGAGGCCCTGAGAGGTCACAGTGTGGGCACCAGGGGCCCAAGCCCAGGGGTCCCGCACCCCCGCTCACTCGTCACCCTCCAAATGCCCCTGTGGAGGCCCCATGTGGCCAGGCCCCCAGGGGCTGCCCGCCTCTCCCAGGCCTGGCTCCTCACCCAGCACGTTCACCGTGTGCAGCCTGGCGTCCTCCCCGGCGGTGTTGTGGGCCACGCAGGTGTAGGCGCCAGAGTCCGAAGCCCTGAGGCCCTTCAGCACCAGGGAGCCACCATCCAGGTAGAAGCTGCCGCAGGGAAGGAGAGCCGGGGCAGGTGTGTGAGGGTCTGCAGGGCCTGTGCCTGGGGGATGGGCGTAGGCCGGGCCTTACCGGAGGTGGGGGCCCATGCCCTGTCCCAGCGGGCCACCGTCTTTCAGCCAGGACACATCTGGCGGTGGCTGCCCCTCGGCCTCGCAGTCCAGCCGCACCTCCTGCCCCTCCAGCACGTTGTGCTCCTGTGTGGCGCCCGAGCTCCGGATCTGGGGGGCCACTGCGACAGGGGCGGCAGTGAGGCCCAGGCAGCAGCAGGGGCTTCCCTGGGGGCAGGACATGGGAGAGGGGGTGTGCAGGGTGCAGACGTACCCAGCACGGCCACCACGAAGTCCTTGCGGGCCTTGGCCTGGGCGTTCTCGGCCACGCACGTGTAGGTGCCAGCCTGGGCCAGCTGCAGGCGACTCAGCTGGAGGCGGCCCCCCCGGGAGACCACGCCATGCTCCATGCTGCTCTCTGTGGGAGGTAGGGGAGCGCTTGAATCCCCCACCCCCTTCTTGTGCCCATAGGGAAACTGAGGCCTGGAGCGGCAGGGGCTCCCTATACATCATGAGCTTCCTCAGCTTGCTCTTTAATTACACTGTTCCTTACAACTTTTCCTGACCTCCTTCTGCTCAGGACATCTCTTCCCAAGAGATCCACTCCCTTTTGTGTCCAGGACTTGCTCTCAGGCCCAGCTCATACCACCCCCATCCCTCCAGCTCCCCCCATGCTCCCCCCACCCCAATCCATCAAGGCTTCTGATGGAGGTGAGCCAGCTACCCACTGACCCCAGCAGAAGTCACCCTGGGGCTCCCTGGACCTCTGCTCAGGCTGCTGGCCTGCCCCAGGCTGGAATCCTCCTGCTCCATTCTCTCCAGCTCCACTTCTGCCCTGAAGCTGTCTCTACGGCACAGCCCAGGTTGATCCCCAGCCCAGATCCTCATCTCTCCAGCCAGCCTTTCAATACAAGATGCACTGAGCAACTGCCCTATGTCCAATCGTGAGCTTGGGGACACGATCCCTGTCCTCAGGAGTTCAAGGGTATTGGAGAAGACAGTGAAACAAGCCCTGTGAGCCCCTCGTGGAACGGGGGGACATGGGAGTGAGAGATATCAGGGAGGGTGTCCAGATATGGCGCATCCCAGTGCACAGGAGTCAGCCAGGTGCAAGCAGAGGTGGCCAGGGGACGCTGGGGTGGGTATTCTAGGCGGGAACAGCATGTGCAAAGAGCTGCAGGAGTTGCGAGCAGAGCCCGCACAGCCTCCACTGCAGGATCCACCCAGGAGTGGTGAAAACACCTGTCACACAGAACTCATGCACGAAGCGTTATTCCTGACAGCGAAAGGCGGGGACGACCCGTCTAGCCATCAGCTGACAAATGGACAAACAACATGCAATACAGCCACAGAATGGAATATGCAGCCATGAAAAGGAATGAGGGAAAAATTTAATTTAATTTTAAAAAGGGATGAAGTACTGATTTATGCTACAGCATGGATGGGCCTTGAAAACATGATGTGAAAGAAGCCAGACACAAAAGGCAAATAGCATATGATTCCATTTATATGAAATGTCCAGACCTGGCAGACTGCAGAGGCAGAAAGCAGATCAGCGGTGGCCCAGGGCGGGGGGAGGGGCAGCTGGGGGAAGTGGGGGATGGCTGCTAATGGGTACGGGGTTTCTTCTTGGGTGATAAAAATGTTCTAACATTGTTGTGATGGTTGCACAACTCTGAATATACTAAAAATCATTGAACTGTATGCTTTAAGTGGGTGAATTACATGTTCTGTGAATTGTATCTCAGTAAAGCTGCTGCTGTGGGGGTGCGGGGAGAGGTGCTAGCCGGGTCTGTCTGGAACATGGACAGGTGGCTGGCCCGGGCCACACAGGCTTCCCAGCTGGGGTCCTGAGGGCCGTAGCCGTGAAAGGACTTTCAAAACACAAACGACCCGCTCAGAGCTGCGCTGTCACACCCTTCTGCTCTGTGGGGAGCCTGCACTAGAGGCTCAGAGTGGGCCCAGGAGACCATTGTGGGGGCTGCTACCCTCACCAGGGGGGACTGGGTGGGCACCAGAGGTGTTGACCAGCTGTCAGGACGAGGGGTCACTGACCACAGACAGGGGGTGGCAGTGTGAGGGGGAGGAAGAGGGCAGGACAAGGACGAAGACCTGGATGGGGTGACCAAGGGCCCAGCTAGGACAGAGCTGGAGGAGGAGCAGCTCCAGAGGCCAGTGCCAAGCTCAGTGTTGGCCAGCGCGGCTCTGCCCGGCCCTTGGCGTCCATCCTGCTCAATGCAGAGCTGTCTTCTGTCTGGGGGCATTAACATTTGGAGTCCAAGGGCCATAACAACGTTAAAAGACAAACAGGGTGAGGCCAGCACTGTGCAGCCAGCCTTGGACTTTGCCAAGAACGTTAACAACCAACAACTTTCTTCTGCTTCCACTGTCATTTCATTAAATAAAGGGATGCGTCGCACTGGAAAGATAAGGACACGGCATACTCACCCACCGGCATTCTGTCCTTCAGCCAAGTAACAGTGGGCGCGGGGACCCCGGACACATCACAGACCAGGACCAGGGGGCTACCAGCCACCTGACTCACTGTCTCTGTCTTGGGGTTCCCAAACGTAGGGGGCACTGCAGGAAAGAAGACAGATTCCCAGAATCCTGAGACTCTCCCCCCACTTTCCCTCCTCTCAGGCGGATCTTCCCTGTGGTTAGGAGTCACATATGACACTCTGCCATTGATGAAGACAGGGTCACTTTAGGCTCTGTGAAAGCATCTACGAAGCAGAGCCCAGGAGGGGTCCACTTCGCCCAAGGCTGGTAAATGAGTGGCTCACGTACCAGCAGTTCTTAACCTACGCCAGAGCAGACATCACTAATCGATCCCAACTACCTCTCCAGCTCGGCCCGGGTAAGTCATGCACCCCAAACAGCCACTGCCAGTGGAACAGAGTCCTCAGGGACCAGACATCCTCCACTTCCAGAGGAAGCTGTCAGAAGGGGTTGTGAGCTTTGAACAGCAAGCCTGGTATCAGTCATTTTCAATGATCATATTGAACATGGCTCACATCTGGATGTACTGCTAACCCGGTTGGGACACCCATGGCAGACAGCAGGTGTCCCCTTAACCTGTCCTTCCCATCATGCATAGCGCAGTTTGAGCGGAGCACATGGTTGCTCAAGTAAAAGCTACGTTTCCCAGTCTCCCCTCTCAGCAGGCTGTGGCAGCTGCCTAAGTTCTCACCAGTGGAATACAAACAGAAGGGACAGGCACAACTTCTACATAAAATAAATGCTCACCCTCCACCTCTGCCTCCTGTGGGCTGGCACAGGTGCGGTGTGTCCCAGCTCCAACCACATGAGCGGGGACAACACTCTAAGAGATGGAAGATCCACAAGATGGTAGGAACTTGGGTCTCTAAGTTACCCACAGAGCTTAGCTACCCCACCAGTTTAGATACTCCCTTCTGGGCTTTAATATTAATTTTTCATTTAATCTGCTGTACCATGGGGTTTCTTTGTTATACAGCTAAGTCCATACTCTACCTAACACAACATCTGATCCTAAGAAAATCTGGCCAGCTCCCCAGACAGCTCAAACAGGCTCCTCCTCACCCCAGCCAGCAAATGCCATCTATGCTCCATCCTTGGGCTGATGGGACAGGCCCCCTCAGGGATCAAAGCAGAGGTGACATGGCCGCTCAAATGTCTGATGTCCTAAGGCCCCTTCCTCCTAATGCCCCTGCCAGGCCCTGTGCCCAGCACTTTATAGACGCAGTGACAGAGTCCACGGGATCTGGCACTTCTGCTGTGCCTGCAGGCAGGTACTGCCTTGAGTTCCTTTTACTGGAGATGAACCTGAGTCTCAGAGGGACAAAGTCATTCTACTAAGCCCCCAAAGCTGGTCACCGGCAGAGTCCTACTTGGATCCTGCTAATCCTGGTCTTTTAAATTCCAGATCTTGGGCCGGCCCGGTGGCGCACTGGAGAGTGCGCTGCTTGGGAGCACGGCGGCACTCCTGCCGAGGGTTCGGATCCCATGTGGATACCGGTTCCCACTCACTGGCTGAGCGCGGTGCGGGCGCAACACCGAGGGTTGCGATCCCGTTGCTGGTCCCTGGTACGGGCGCGACACCAAGGGTTGCGATCCCGTTACTGGTCAGTAAAAAAGACAAAAAAGGAAAAAAAAAAAAAAATTCCAGATCTTGTGCCCTTCATGCTTGGCAAAACCGCCTCTCTCCAGCCTCTTTCTCACCTTGGCAGCCCTGTGTGCTGCCAGGGTTCCATGGCCACGCTGGCCAGGCTGGTCGCAGCTTACCCTGGACAGTGAGGATGAAGGTCCGCCTGGCCTCCCCGGCTGCGTTGCTCACTTTACAGCTATACACACCTTTATCCAACACCTGGGATAAGAAGAGTACATTGTGACAGTGCGCATGGAGCTGGGCTGGGTACCGAGGGCTCCCCCAAAACATCCAGACCCCAGAAGCTTCCAGAGCAGGAACTCCCCAAAGATGCTGGTCCTGACTGAGAGCCAAAGGGAGCCGGGAGCCTCTGGCCTTTTCCAAGAGCCTCCAGGAGTAGGAGGGCCCATCGAAGGTGAATACACAGGACCTGGACCCCCACCCCCCCGGGCCTGTGGGTCGGCCAAGTCTGGGGAGAGAGCCGTGCCAGGAGACAGGAGCCCAGAATGGATTTCCAGAGAAGCAGCCGATATTCCTCCAAGAAACACTGTGAGCATCTAATCCACACCACGGAGGGCAGGACAGACTCCCTGGGATCACAGATGGCCAACCAGAAGGGCCTAAAAAAAGCTTCTAGATCCTGGGGAAACTGAGGCAGACAATGCTGGAATGGGCTTAAGGTCATCTTGTGAGTCAGTGTAGAGCCAGATCTGAAACCTAACCCTCTGGAACCCTGTGCCCTGCCCATGTCTCCTGTCCTGGAGGCTGCTAATCAACTTGGCTTGGGGTCCCACAGGCTAGGGAGGCAGCAGCTCCAGTCCCTGCCACACACCTGCCCACCTCCCTCCCCCTGCCCAGGCCCACCAGAGCTGGGAGGCAACATTCCCACGGTGCCCACAGCCTCCCAGGCTGCCGATGTTACCCAAGCCGCTCACCTGTGTGTCCAGGATCTCCAGCTTCTGCCCACCCTGCAGAGCCTGGGTCCTCTGCACCAGGGCCAGGGGCTGCCCATCTTTGTACCAGGTCACGACCGGCTCGGGGAGTGAGTCTGTCTCACAACTCAGGATGGCCTTGTCCCCGGCCCGCACCAGGACCACATCCTGGGGGCTGCTGGGAGTCTGCCTAAAGGTGGGGGGAGCTGAGGGCAGGAGACAGCAGAGTGAGATGCTGTGGCTGCTGCTGAGTCCTCCCCGGCTGAGCCATAGGCAAACAGCCTATGGAGGTCCACAGGGGTCACACATGGACCCAACCCCAGGGGCTGCCACAGACCCAGAGGAGCTGGAGGAAGAGAAACTAGGCCAGCACACCAAGGACCTGCCAGGTGGCTAGGGACAGCCTCCTGCCCTCTCTGGGCACCAGCATCCTGGATGTGAGGAGATGCTGACAGCCCTCCAGGCTCTTTCCTACATGGAGCAGGCCCCAGCTGGGTTAGAGCCGTCCGTGGGGACCCTCTCAGTCTTCTACCACTCCAGCAAACCAATGTAGAAGCCCCCAGCCCCTGCTGTGAGCCCCAGGACTGGCAGGTGTCCAGCACACAGTAGGTGAACATGCATAAATGAATGAACCAGCCCCAGGGCCAGAAGGACCCTTCCAGTGAGTCCTGGCTTGTGACACCTTGGACCAGATTTTCCTCAAGAGGATTATGAAGGCTACAAGCCCCTTAACAGGCTCCATGCAGAGAATCTCATGATCAGACAGGCTTGGGAAATGTCCCTTCCTGGGCCAAGCTCCTGGGGCTCGTCCTGCTGCTCCCCCTCCTCACCATCCATCAGAGCTCACTGCAGCAGGGGTCCCAGCCTTGCCTAGGGCTGGCTGCTCCTCGCCTGGCTATGCTGCCCAGGAGAGTAGGGCTGAGGGCTGATGGAGTAGGGGATGGTGTGGGTGTGGGGACAGACATGCACATACCCAGCACGCTAAGCTGCACTAGCTTCTGGTCTCGGCCGGCAGCATTGAGGGCTTCACACATGTACATCCCGGAATCCGATGGCTGTGCTCGCGCCAGCTGGAGCGTGTGGGTGCCTGCCCGGGGGGACCCAGAGCCTGGCACCAGCAACCTGGCCCAGCCTCCAGGCCCGCTCCCCTGATCCTAGATCCCTCCCAGACTCACAGCCTTATCCCAGGGTTGTGGAAGCAACTCTCTCCCCACATAACCTCAGAGCTTCATGTGAAGCCTCAGTTTACCCACCAGGCAAGAGGAAGACCTCTTCACCCAGGGAGAGGGCCTGGCTGTCCTTGTACCACATGACCTCGGGACTCGGGTGAGCGTGGACGTCACAGGGGAGGGAGATGCTGCTGTTGATGATGGCGGTGACCTGCTCCGAGTTCAGGCCTGCAATTCGTGGTGGGACTATCCCCACAGCCACCAGGATAAAGAAAGACATGAGAATGCACCCCAGCAGGGGAGCAAGGGCCACGAGGGAAACACCGAGAGCCTTCACTGGGCTCCTGGCTCTTCCCCTCAGCGCATCTTCAAATAGCCTGTGCAGAAACCTCTATTTTTCACAACTATCCCACACATGAGAACACTGGGGCTCAGAGATCAGAGAGGGAGAATCACTTTTCCAAGGCCACACAGCTGGTTGGTGGCTTAGCCAAAATATCAGTCAGGTTTGAGTCCATGACCTTGAGTGCTTAGCACTGTCACCCTCCATCCCTGAGGTCACAGCTGTCACCACATCTGGAGGTGCAGACTCTGGGACGGTGAGACCCCTGACCTGGGTGGCCTCTGTGAGTCTGTTTCCACAGGTGCAAAGTTGGGCTAACCTAGCTCTGCTGGAAGGTGTCAGCCCAGAGGAAGTGCTTAGCCCATGCCATGTACACAGTAAGTGCTCAATAATGGCACTGTAAGGCCTCGGACAAGCCATTCCCTGGCCACTTCCAAAGCTGCTTACAACCATCTGGGGCTGGTCTAATAGTGATCAGAGTTCCCCAGATGCTTTATGTCCTGGATGTGGCTGAGATCCTTGAACTCTGCGTGAGGGTCCCAGAGCCTGGACACTGAAACACCAAGGCAGTGCTCCTCAGGGAGGGCAAGGAGCCCACAGAAGCCACCTGCTCAGGCCAGCTCACCTCGGACTCTGAGTGTAAAGAGCTTCTCTGCAGAGCCCGCCTGGTTCTCGGCCACACACATGTAGCTGGCAGCGTCGGCCACCTCTGCAGTGGAAACCTGTGGGGGCAGGGAGCTGGTGCCTGGGGGGCGCCACAGGCCGGATGGCTCTGAGGGAGCCAGAGACCTCTCAGACTCCCCCATCCCCTGGGAATCACTGTGAGGACCCCTCCCTCTCACTCCATACCAGGCATATGGGTACCAGATGACTCATGAAGACCAGGAGGAGCCCCTTTTAAGGCCACCTCCACACAGGGCTTTGTGTGACATTCAGGAGGGAGCATGTCAGGTTGGTGTTGGGTGACTATCCATAGCAGACTAGATGTGATTTCAGTCCCCCCTCAAGCCCCTGGAGGGCTGTCCTGTGTGTGTTTGGCTCCAGGGGTCCCATGCAGTTCCGTGTCTGGACACTGGCTGGCCAAGGGTGCTGTCTGACGACCTGAGGGCCAGGCACGGCTCTGCACATGTCAGCAGCATTCCCGCAGGGACTGCTCTGTGCCACGTGGGCTGTAGGTGGGGCACGCATGGTGTCCTTGTCTAGGTGTCACCTGAACTTCTAGGTTCTGTGTGTAGCCCTGTGCTGCCCAGCAAGGCTCCTTGCAGATGGCTATTTGCTGGGCTGAATGAAATCCCAGGTGCTCCAGCAGGGTTTCAGGCAAAGCACCTCATCTGTCACAGCCAGTGACCACCCCTTGGTTCCCGGACAAGCAGGGGCTGTCCTGACCTGCAACACTTGCCCGTCCTCCAGGATCTGCAGCCGTGGGCTCGGGGAGAAGGGCAACCCATTCTGGAGCCACGAGATGGTGGGTTCGGGGTTGCCCAGGGCCGGGCACTGCAGGCTGACGGTACTGCTGGCATTGACGGTCACTTCCTCCACCAGCTCCTCAGTGTCACCCAAGATCACAGGTGGGGCTAGGGGTGGGGGAGGAGCAGTAAGAAGCCTGCAAAGGTCCCCGGGGGTGAGGGGTGGGCATGGAGATGAGAGGGGCACTTGGTGCCAGGTGCTGGCTGGGCTCCCCATGCCTTGCTCACCAAGCACCGCCCCCAGGCTCTGATGGGACACAGAGGGTTGTGATGCGCTCAACACCACACGGCGAGGAAGCTTCTAACTTGGAATTTGAAGCCTGTTCTGCCTGGTTTCAGAGCCCAAGTTTGTCATCCCATTACCAGCCTCTGAATGTGGCATGACTGCACGCATGCTGCCTCGACCCCCCGCACCCCCCACAGGTGGCCTGAGACTCCCCCACCGCCCGGCCACTCACTCAGCACCAGCAGCTCGTAGTGCAGCCAGTCCTCGCCCACCTCGTTGGAGGCCTTGCACGAGTACCTGCCAGCATCCTCCGCTCGGGCCAGGGGGATCTGCAGGACCCGGCCTCCTGCAGGGACAGGGACAGAGGCCTGAGCTCAGGGGCTTCCAAAAGAAACCTGCTCTTTCCTCTGGAGGGGAGCCGGGCCATGTCATGGCGCCCTTGCCACCTCTGTGAAATGGAATCAGCCTGCTCTGCCCAGATGATGGAGTTGAGTCAGAGCACAGTCATGGCTGCTGTGTGCCAGGCCCGGACAAGCCTCCTTGCCTTACACCCGTGACTGCGGGGCATGCGCTGCTGCCCCTCCCACCTTACAGGCAGGAGACTGAGGCTCCAGCAGTGCCCAGTAAGGCAGCGGTAGCTGCAGGCTCAGGTCTCCTGTGCTGAGCCCAGCTCCTCGGGGAGGGCGCCGGGAAGGGGCAGAGAACTGGTCAGGAAGCAGAGCAGGCAGCTCCCGAGTCTGTGGTGCTTGGGGGGGGGCGTTGGGAGGTGTCACCTGGGACCCTCTGTGATCAACAGCCAGCCAGGGCCAGGACCTGGCATCTGTGGGGGGCTGGAGCTGGTCTCTAGAAAGGGGCCAGGTCAGGGTCACTATGTGCTCAGGATTCTGGGTTGGGGTTCACTGGCCCAGGCTGTGAGTGGCTTGACCAGGGTCAGAACCTGGGGCTCACTCTGTGCAGTCAGGGGACAGAGGCCAGGATTGGGGAGGCAGTGGCCATGGTCAGGGGTAATTGATATTTGAGGTTAATCTATGGGCAGGGTCAGAATGCAGGTCAGCTTGTGACCATGACCACTACATGCTCAGGATTAGGGGACAGTGGCCAGGGTCAGAGATCAGTAGTGGGATTGGAGGCCAGGGGCAATGACTTGTGCGGGGGGGATAGTGTCATTGGCTGTATTCTGGGTTCAGTTGATGGTCCAGATTAACCTGTGGTGAGGGTCTGAGTTAGGGATCTATGTGTGACTAAGCTGACTGTGCACCAAGATTTAGGGTCAGCATCCAGGTCAGAGGCCAGTGGCCAGGTTAAGGGGTCAGTCCAGGGATTTCCAACAGAAACCAGCAGCTTTCAGTAAGTGTTGCCTCTCCTGGATCTCTGAGAGGCTTCTTTTTTCTTGCAAGCACCAAAGTACAAACTCTGGTACCCCTCTGCTCACTGGAGGCCCGTGCAACCGACCACTTCCCCCTTCAACCCCACTGTGGCCCCGAACCTGGCAGGACATGGTGCAAATCTTAAGTCCAGAGATCATCCAGTCTCCCCGCATGAGACTCAACTGAGGCAGCTGGGCCAGCCATTCAGGGAAGCCAGGCATTTCTAAGCCCCACCCCTGGAGACTTTTAATTCAAAATCATCCACAAAAAATTATTCTAAAATAAAAGTTTAACTTAAAAAACTAAATAACCTTGGGCCGGCCTGG